ATTTTTTATTAAAAAAAAACTTACCATTTATTGATTTTGTCAAAATTCCCTGATCAACATTTATTAACTTTTTTGTAATCCATATGTCTTTTCACATGCCTGCATTTATTGATTTGGTCAAAATTCATTTATTAGCATTTAAAATCCCCTCATACAAATAATTATAAATACAATCTGTATATAGTTACTGCAGTACCTTTTTCAACTTCTCTCATACACTATGATTAATGATAAGATTGTTAAATTATTTTTATAAAAAATCTTAAAATAAATGTAAATATCTATAATTATTCCATACATAACACAAGTAATAAATTAATGTATATAATATAATATAAACTTATTTCAAATGAGTTTTATTTATATAAAGCTTCTCCTTTCAAATGAGTTTTATTTATATAAAGCTCAGTGGTAGCTAAAGCATGGGTTTTATTGTTCATAATTTTACAAGGGCTGTAGATTTGTTAATATTTTTTAAAATATACATTGTCATGTAAATTTCCCTTATAACTTTCATGTTGAAAAAACTATCCATAATAGTCTCTGTTTTAATAGATACCCTTGTGTGGAGCAAGCTGTTCAAAGGAATTTTTTTGAGTGTGGAGCAAGCTGTTCAAAGGAATTTTTTTGACTACCAAGTTTTACTAATGAGGTTTTAATGTTAATATTTAATATTATTTTAAAATTCTAAGAAATCATAATTTTACTATAAATATTGATATGTGATTTAGATTTAATGTTATATAATAATGAATCTCAATCATTCAATATTTTTTTTTAAAGATAAAATTTGAAAAAATATGACCGTTGTAAAAATTTGAAAAAATATGACCGTTGTAAAAATATGACCGTTACAAAAATATGACTGTTGAAAAAATATGACCATTTGAAAAATACGACAGTAAAAAAATGTAACTTTCACAGAAATATAATTATATTTAGAAGAATGAAAAAAATAATAATTTGAAAGAAGTTAGTTTTTTTTTTTTTTAGATTGGAAAGAAGGTAGTTAAAGTATAAGAATATTTTAATAAAAGATAGCTAAAGTAGATAGCCTTGTTGGAATGTATATTAAAAAAATGACTAGCTAAAATAGTAAAGTAAAATTTTGACTAGCTATTCTAACTATCCTTGCTGGAGATGCTCTTACACTTTTAATTTGTCTTCGTTAGCTCTCCTTCTAGTGAGAGAAAATAATTAAAAAATCTCTCTCATCCTTTCGGCTTCCCCTTTCAAATCTCTGGGAGTTTTAATTTTATCATTAACTCTCTCTCTCCAGTGAAAGAAAAATTATAAAAAAATCTGTCTCTCATCCTTTCATCTTCTCACTCTCACATTTCATCTACTTTACTGTTCTTCCATTTCGTCTTCTCAGGGGAAGAAAACCCAGGCTTTGGACAATTGGGTTAGGATTCAACAGGACCAAGGAAAATTGTTTTCTTTTTTCGAGTAAGTAGTTTATTATTTGCTATCATTTTATGGATTGAGATCATTTACCTCATGGGTTGAGTTCGTGGATAAACATTTTTTCTTAATTTTTTTTCTTTTTAAATTAGTCCACCAAAAGGAAGATTAAACGATCTGGTTACTTTCCAATGGGTTTTTTTTATTCCTTCCAATTGTAAAATTTAATTTCATATAAGAAAAATGCTTTTCATGGAAACAATTACACCTGAGATGAATATCCGACAAAAACAAAACCTATGGATGGATGAAACATATATATTTTTTTTAATTTTTTTTTTGATTGATTGGCAGGTTTTTGGAACTTATAAAACCATTCTTCATCACATCGGTTTCATTGTTTTATTGGGTTAGGACTCAAAACGGAGTGAGAAGAGAACCATGCCTCCTCAGTCTTCAGGTCATTTTTTTGAGATCTAGGTTTCACTGTTTTGGATTTGCTGTTGTTATATTTCTAAATAGGGCAAATTACGATGTTAGTCCCTCTACTTTGGTCTCAATAATTTCAATTGATTTGATTTTTATCATGAATTTATGAATCTGTCTCAATTTGGTTCAATTGTTTATAACTTTTTACATTTTTGTATGGAAAATAGGTACATAAGTGGCATGGGTTGTATTTTTAATGGCAAAATTATAAATTTACTCAACTGAGTGAGTGAGTTAACATCAACTAATTCAATGTTAATTTTTTGTAAAAACATTAACAGAATTATCAATTGGATCAAATTAATTCAAAATCTAAAATTAAGGGTCAAAATCGTGTCAATTAAAAATGTAGAGACCAAATAACACGAGACAAAATATAGGTACCATCGGTGTAATTTGTCCTTCAAATTGTTTCTAATGCTTGGAAACAAGAGTAAATGCTTTTATATCATCTTCCTTTTTTGATTTTTTATTTTTTATTTTTTTGGCAATAAAATAGGTTTACTTGGAACTTTGGAAATTTTGGTGGCATGAGTGGAGTCGGAAAAAAAATAAATTAAGGTAAGACTTGCTTGTCAATATTCTATGTGAATTTTATTTATTCAGTTAGATTCAATTTTTTATTTTTTATACTTTATATTTGCGTTGTGTTTGGATAATCTGGATAGAAATTTGGATAGCGAAATGAAAAGAGAAATGACGAAAAATTTAACTTATATTGTATTCACATTTCTCGTTACTTTTGCTCTTTCCTTTGCCAAATTCCTACCAAAATTCATGATCTAAACATGACTAGTTTTCTTTTTAATTGTTCAATCAATAGCTTCTCTGCTCTTGTGACAATGCTGCATATTTTTCATAGTAATTTGGTGAAATAATAATTACAAATTCTTTTGATTCATTGTGTAACTTAGGTATTGGGTTGGTTGGTATTTTCTTATTATGCCTTTCGTGGTTAAAACTTGGTTCTTACGTGTTACGGATTGAAAATCCTTACCAAAAATTATCTGCTAAGTAATTACAAATTACAATCTGTCGCGCCTGGATTTTTTGACCAGCTTTTTTTTTTTTTTGGAAAGGGGTCTTGAAAATCTGTAGCTAAGTGTGTCAAATTGAAATGGAATTGATAGCATGGGATTCGGCTGTGTTAGGTCCACCTAAATATGAGGAAGTGCAATGTTTAAAAAGAAGGAAAGGAACGTTCAATCTGCACTTAAACCAAACAAATAGACCCTTTTGTTCCAATTTGGTGGGGTCAATTACATGAACGTGTATTTCCTCATTCCACTCTATGAAGAGCTATATGCTTAATTATTTGATTTTTCACCCGAAAGAGTTTATATTTTCCATCTAAATGAAACTAATTTCATGATATCATATCCTTTGGTGTTTTTCTTTAAATTTCACCGAGTGTGATTATACTGTAAGGGCTTGTTTGATTGAGTGGATTATACCATATGATTGAGATTATTAATCTATGAGACTCACATTTCATTGTTTGGTTGCAATTTTTGTTATACGGATTAGATTTCGATGCACATTCTATCCAAAAAAAATTGATGAATTTTTTAATCCTACAACTAATAATGCAAAACAAACATATGATTGAGATTATATATTTCCATATCCATTGCAAAACAAAAGTAGACATTAGGGAATTATTTATCTCACTAATCTAACTCATATTAGAGTTTCTCTATAAAAGACTTAAGGTAAGACAAACACAAGGTAGGCAATATTTAGCAACCCTAAATCTCTCCCCTCAATCTCTCTCTCTCTACTCTTATTCTGTTCCATCAAAATGAGTACCCGATTGAACCATCGAAGGGCTTTTGGATGACACCACAGTGGTGTCACTAAAGACTCACTACTTCTTTTGCAAGATTGGTGGATCAGCTCAGGATCATACAGATTTGATCTTCAATAAATATGTGCATGCTTTTTGATTTGATGGTCCGAACCAATTAGATTAAAATGATTTAGTTTTCTTTTATCTATAGTTCAAACTATTAATACACTTCTGGTCATGTAGAGTTTTACCGAGATATTTATATTCAGTAACCAGTGTTTTTGTGAAAACATGGCACTTGTTTCTAAGTTCAATAATCACGAAGATTATGAGATTGAATGCAATTGATATTTCTTCTCTTTTGCTAAATATGTTTAATTGTGGAAACATACGTCACAAATTCAACATTGCCTTTTGGTCCACCTTTATTGTTACAAACTTCTTACTTGAATTTATATCTTGTTTTAGTTTTAGTACTAAATAAAATTTCATTTATGTTAATTTGATTGATGATCAGTTGTAGTCCTATGATAGAAGTTATTAAACTTCTTACTTGAATTTATATCTTGTTTTAGCTTTAGTACTAAATAAAATTTCATTTATGTTAATTTGATTGATGATCAGCTGTAGTCCTATGGTAGAAGTTATTGCTTGCTTTTTATGTGAGTGTTTTTTCTAGTTCATGATTTGCAACCAAAGATATTCTTTAATACTTGTTTGGATATGAGTAGTAGCAAACATACTTGTTATATGGTTTATTGTCATGGTCGAAATAAGCCTTTTGGCTCAAATCCTACAATTTGTGTGTAAACACTATGTTCTTTCACCTGAATTAGGATGAATGGAGTTTTTAGCCCTGACCAATTGACTATTTTTATGGATATTTTGGTTGCTTTGTGGTGGACTCTTACTGCTAAGAGTATCACTACCCAGGAATTTTTTTTTTGGTTGCTTTTTGGTAGACCGACTTTTAAAAACACTGGTTTGATTGATAGTTTCCATAGTTCTAATTTTGTTTGATTTTGATTGATATATTTTTTTCCATTGTCCTCAGCTGAGAACCTCCGACAGACTGTCACTTTTGTTTTTTCTTATCTACTTGAATATTTGCAAATTGTAGTAGTTTAATTTTTTTTCCTATTTTGTTGGTTCTTATTATTTTTCTCCAGGCCCCTCGTGTGACGAGGGTACAACTCCTCTGAGGCTTGAAGGTTTGTTGGATTGATTTTTAGTTTGATTTATTTATTTATTTAAAAAAACTATTTTAATAGTTTTAATTTTGTTTGATTCATATATATGTTTTTGTTGTCCTCAGTTGAGAGCCGCATACGGACAATCGCCTCTCTCTTGAAGCCTCGTCCCAGTCCTAAACTTGTTTTTCATGTTAGTAGATCAGGGAAAAGGAGGAGTGTTCGAATTAGGAGAGCCCCTGCTAGATTTAGTATTAGTTTGAGGAGGAGGAGGAATTGATGATTAGAGATTTTAGCACTCTGACCAATTGACCATTTTGTGGTTGTTGTTTTTCTTATCTACTTGAACATTTCCAAATTTCATTACTTTAAATTTTTTTCTTGTTTTGTTGGGGTTCTTATTTGTTTGAATTTTTTTTTTCTCCAGGCCCCTCATCATTATTAGTCCATGAGGGTACAACTTTTCTGAGGCTTGAAGGTTTGTTAGATTGATTTTTAGTTTGATTTATTTTTAAAAAACTATTTTAGTAGTTATAAGCTTGTTTGATTTGAGAATGATATTTCTATTGTTTTAATTTTATTTGATTCATATATTTATTTTTTGGTTATCCTCAATGGAGAGCCGCATACGGACCATCGGCTCTCTCTCGAAGCGTCATCCTTGTCCTACTAAACGTGTTTTTTATGTTATGTTGTTATGTTAGTTCCATGTTAAGTTGTTATGTTAGTTCCTCATCCATCTTATGGGTGTTTTTTTGGTTGCTTATTGGTAGACTTTTACCGCTAAGAGTATCACAATGTGTTTTTTATTTTTTAAATGAATACTTTTTAAGTTCACCATAATTAGATTTATTTAAAAAGTAAAATATTTGTAAAAAGATATTTTAAAAAATTAATAAATATTTACAAATACAAAAAATGTATTGAATTTGCGTATTATTTTTTTTGTAATTTTGGTATTTAGTAATTTTTTAAATATTTTTTTCACAAATATGATTTTTTTTTCCCCATAAATATGCTTCGTACTGGTTAAATGTAGTACAAATTTATGTGGGTGTGTGCATGTGTTTGTGTGTGTGTGTGTGAGAGAGAGAGAGAGAGAGAGAGAGAGAGAGAGTCTGCAAAGCTAATGTCAATGATATATATATAATGGGTTTATTTTGAGGGCGTGACAGTGTGTGTGAGAGAGAGGGAGAGAGAGAGTCTGCAAAGCTAGGAAACTATGGTTGAAAATTTGACAAAGAGATCTTATTTTTGTAATTTACTTTTTTTATTTATTTATTTTTACTTTTTATCTTCTTGGGATTGAATAACAAAATTGATTTGCTCACAGATTTGCGTTGGAATTGCAAAACTGACAGAGAGGATTTGTAAGGCACTTGACAGGCTCTTAAAGACTGATCAAGTGCCTATCGTACAAGCGCCTTTCGTATCCTTTTTGTTAGTGTTGCACTTTTAATGCAAGTCTGTAAGTAATTCAATTTTGTTCTTAAATTCCGAGAAGGTCAATATTTTTTCGTTAACGACAGTGCTTCATACTGTTAAAACTTAAGTACAGTACAAATTTTTGTTTGTGTGTGTGTCAGAGAGAGAGAGAGTCTACAAAGCCAGGAAACTATGGTTGGAAATTTGACAATGAGATCTTACATTTATAAATTAAATTTTTTTTTTAAAAAAAATTAAGAAAAGTTTGCCTTGTTGTAAAGCCTAATAAACAGCCACCCATCCTTGGGATTTTAGGATTCTTGACACCCTTTTGATCGTTGATTTCTATTGATACATTGATAAATGGTTGATCGTTGATTTCTATTGATACATTGATTCATGGTGGACAAGAAGTTTTTAGCGCCACTTTTTCCTGGTGATCAAGAGACTCTTGATTTTCCATGTCAATTCACTTGTCATTTTCATCTTGCTCAAGTCTTAGAACTGTTCGATAGAAATTTTCTTTAACCTAATTTGGGTAGATACACAATTTCTTAAATCAAAATAAAGCATCAAGAAAATGTATAAAAACCAAAAATATTAAGACATCTCCTTAAAAAATAAAAAACAAAAATAATCACCACGTTTGGTTTCTATTTTCAAAAAAAAATTTACTTTTTCGTATAATAAAAAGGTGACATTGAGTTTATTGTTTTGGTTAGTTGGTTTGAGTGAGATTTTTGTTTTGTATGTGCTTCTCTTCCTTTCGTATTTCATTTTGTGCCAAAGACATTTTCATGTCCGAACCTATAACTTTTTATTCCATAGATGTGTGAACAATGTTGTTATTTGTCTTATTTTTTATCATCATTTATAAAATTCTTATAGTATTCTCTACATTGTTGTAGGAATGCTTCATCCTCTCAAACAAATGAACAGAAAAATGACATCCCATTTATTCCCGAGGACATCATTTTTCACATTCTTGTTTGCCTTCTTGCTGAGTTTTTGCATTACTGTGGGAAATTTGTGTGCAAGGCTTGGGCCAAAATTATATATGATCCTTCTTATATCATGGCACACGTCCTTCAATCAAAGGATGCCTTGTTCATCCAAAAATTTGGTAAACCATATCATTTATGTTTCCTTGAGTTTAATGAGGGAGAATTCAAACAACACACCTAAATTGTCATGGACATATGGTCTCTAGTTGTGGTGGCTTATCACTGTTTTCAGGCTCATCCTGAGAGATTTCTTTTTGTTGGGAATCATGCGACACAAAAGTATAAGAACCTACCTTTTCCTATTGCGAAAGGTCATCTTTTGCTCTCTTGTCATATTGGTTACATTTCTTGCACTGAGGAGTACAAGGTGGTTTGCCATTGTGAAATATCAGGTGGAGAATATAGATGGTTTGTATTGTCTGTGGATAATAATAACATGTCATGGAGAAGAATGGTGACTTCCCTAAAAGGAATCAGTTTTTATTGTGACGATAGAGCTTCAGTGTCTGTTGGAGGCGCGCTATTTATTACTCTCAAATGAACAGTCATATTTTTGCTGTTGACCTTTATGATGACACTTCTCACTCCGTTCAAGTTCCAAATGAATTTGTTGGGAGTTGTTATAGTCTTCTTGAGCTGGGGAATAGTTTATCTTTCATTGTGAGACATTCAGCAGAGGTTTATGTATGCATATTAAAGGACTTACATTGCAATGAAGGGGCTAAACTTTACAAGATTACAGAAGCAATAGATGGACCGAATTTTTTATGTGAGAGTTTCATACCTGTTGGTTGGCTGGATGATGGCCAAATCTTGGTCTTCATTCACTTTGAAAAGTTGGTTGTGGCTTACAATGTGAAAACAGGAGAGGCAAGATCCTTCGATGTTTTCAGCCCTGATTTCATACGGAAACACACCAACAGCCTTGTTTCATGGTAAATATGCATTCAAGACTATTAAGTATTTCTTTTGATTATTGGCTATGAAATCATTTTTGCTTGTACTCACGAATTTTATTAGTTGAAGACTTTATTAATTGTTTATTTTCTTGTACCTGATATGTGGGTACCCATCTGGGTGTTGTGTAGAATGGGTAAGTAGACACCTTTTTTCTTCTTTTTTTTTCCTAATATTATTATTTGTAGAAAAAGATAAAACATAAACAAGAGGGGATGAAGAATTATGTAAATTGTATTTCAGGAAGAAAGGATAGATAGGTAGCACAATTTGTTGCCTAAAAGGAACAGATGGAGCTACATCTTAATGAATGGTCTTAGTTATAATTTTTTTTTATAACCGAGAACCGACCCTAGTAAGGGGTCTTTGGGACCCACCTTAGAAGTGCAAACTCAAGATACATGCAACCACCTACTAACCTCACATATCGACCACTCGATAGCCTGTCATATTGAGTGGTGTCAGTTGATTACACTCAATTTTGATTTTTTTAAAAAAATTAAATGTAGAAATTTATCCAAAATGTTTGGAGTTTTACAAATTGAACCTAGTGATAGAGAAAAAAAGAGTTATTTTTGCTATTCCACTTCATTATAAACCCAATGTAAAATTTGTCTTTATTGTTTAAACTTATACATGACATGATTCTTAATGCATATTAGAATATAAATTTTGAAGTGTATTTATAATGTGGAAAACAATAGCAAATGTTATTGTCATTGATTGTGTGAGTTAACTGTAGATATTTGCTTTATTTTTGTTGAAGCAATAGTATTATAGGGAGAGGGAAGGATAGGGAAGGGGAGGGAGTGAATAATTGTTTTGAAAGGAAAAAAAAAAACTTATTTTGTTTTCGTTTTTAAAATTTTAGAATTGATTCTACCTTTATGAAAATGAAAACAATATACTAAAACACAAAACAAAAATGGAAGAGTTGACAAATGACCCCTTCTCAATGTTTGTTTTTATATGTAATTTGACAAGTTTGAATTACTTTTGTCTATTTGATGAAAATATATAAAATTATAATGTATTATGTGAGAGTTGATTTTGATAGGTTGTGTAGAACCAAATTTTTACTTAATGACTTGATGATATTTGTTGAATGACTACAGAATTAAAATCCTACTTATGCCACTGAATAGGAACATGTTTCATCAACACCTAAAAGGTTTATGCAATATATCTGGTATGTAAGTTGGCCAACATTTCTATTGGAAAATTGGAAGTTTCCAAGTCCATAACTCTTAATGTACAAAGTAGTAATAGTAGTCTAGATTGAGGATGATTAGTAATATCTGATGTGTCCTCAAAAAATAAAAACTTAAAAGAAAAAGAACGAAATGTATGATGTGTAAAAATGATGCAGTAGTGACAAGCATACTAGTAATTACGTTCCGAAGCATACTAGTAAATACACACATGCACATGGTATTTTTGCTTTTATTTGGATCCTTAAATCTGTATGCTCTGTTTGTGCAGGAAGCATTTAGAAGGCAAGGACAAGAGAGGAGGAGTCTCATCAACATAAAATGTTGGCAGAAGCTAAGCTGCAACATTTGGAGTTTGAATTCTATTTCTTTGCATGACGCCAGAGTTTATAAAAGATTATGTATACCAACTTGGGGGTAACTTGCTTTGAACCATTATCGGTGTCCAAGTGCGTATAATTTTCTTATAGTGTATGCTTTTTTTGTTTTTGTATTTTTGCAACAGTTTGTTATAAATAAGGCTTGGAAGTTGATTAGGAAAATAGCAAAGGATGAATGAAGTTTGGGCAGGGTATTGGCCCTAATAGTTGAAGACTAAGTGGTTGGTAACTTTGAAGTGTCTTTGGTTGTGTGTGGTGGTTTACTTTTGTTTCTGTTGTGTGTTACCTAGTTCATAAAACAATTCTGTAGATTTATGAAGTTACCTTTTGCCCTGTGTATGCAATATAGTGATGAACATAGCATTTGTGGGTTTTGCTTGGTTTTCATGTGAATGTGTTTATCTGTTTGGTATGCATATTTTTCTCTCGTTGAACATTTTAAAA